GCAACGCGTTATTTGTCATCGTTTTGCACCAGCCAGCTCCGAGAAATAGGATAAAAGTGGATAAAAAAAAAAGAAAAAAGTAGACCGCCATAATTTATCCATAATAATTCAGAATAAAACTTTCGTTCTGGGAACAGTGTGTGGATGGATCTTAAACGTCAGGGATTTGCATCTCATTGAAATTCACAGAGTGCGACTGCTAGCTCTTTCGTTAAATACGATTAAGGAGATCTTTTTCACGAGACCAATGCTATTAAAGAAATCGATCGCTCATAATCCAATATATTTCGTAACAATTTTTTTTTACACTTTTTCTTCCTTTCTTTTTCTCTCTATCCCAAGGATGTTTATTACTTTCACTGAATTATCCACTTAGAAAAAAAGTGAAAAGCTCTTTGGAAAAGATTTTCTCGAAATTCGAATATAATTTCCCTTTGAAATTCCAAAGTACTGACGATAAAATTATTATGAAAATACTCATCGGAATTAGAAAAATAAAAAATCGATGAAATTTTTATGATAGAAGAAAAAGGGAATTAGGAAATATTTAGTAGCGAATGAAAAAACTCGTGACTGTTATTGTGGCAGCAAGTGGAACACTCGACAATAAATTTAGACTTAACAGTCTGCACGCGAATTGTCCGTTAACTTTTTCCGGTTTTAGTTGGAGAAGTTGGAGGAGAATAATTAGATAGGCACTTATCTAAGTGTCTGGTGGTGGTAGTGGCACATGGGTGATCATATAGATAGGTTGGATATCTAGGTAAATGTACCTTAGGAGACACCGGAAGACTCAGCTCTGACTCCTGGGTGTAATTTCGATAATTGCGGGCTAATGCGTTTAGCAGCAGTACTCACATGTATAGTAGAGTGAGAGAGCACTGCGGTCCAAGGGGACGTGAGGCACCTGCAAATTAATTAAGCAAGTGCTGTCCTCATTTGCAGTGCAAGGTAGAAAGGACAGTTCACCTAACCAACTATTTTCTTTTTTTTTTCATTAATCCCTCCCACCTCCCTAACCTTCAACTTAATTCCATTATGCACTTTCCAGGTACCTTCACATCATGACAATTCCAACACTCTACAAATTGAAGATATTCTCTGTAATTTATTATTCGTTGGATATTTTCTGACAAAAGCAAAAAAAAGATCAGAGTTGGTATATTCTCTATCTTGACTTTTATTTTGTGTTCGAACTTATTTATTTTAAATTGATTAGATGAAAAATAAAAGCGCAATACGGAGGCGCACAATGGATCAGAATGCAAAAAATCTGGTCAAAACCCAAAACTAATTTAATTTACAGGTTTTAACTATTGAATCGAGTACATCATCTATACGATAAGGAATAATTCACCTCGTGTTTATCACTTTTAATATACTTCTACACTTTGACACTCTTGACATATAAACGCGGGGGGTCGACTCTTTAACTTTTCCACTTCCAAATTCCCACCCTCACTTCCACTTCCCAATCCCTTTTTCCACATCCTACTCTCACTTCCTCTTTCCATTATCACTTCCGATGTTCAGTATCACTTTCCACTTCCTACTTTCACTTTCCACTCTCACTTCCTACTTTCCAAACTCACTTCCCACTTCCACTCTCACTTCTCATTCCTACTATCCACATCCTACTTTCACTCTCACTGCCTTTTTCCAGTATAACTTCCCACTCTCACTTTCCACTTCCTACTACCACAACCCACTCTCACTTCTGTTATGTCTCAGAAATGAATCTAAACTTAATCATAATTTACATATATTTAATTTGTCCGACATCGGTGATTCACACCTGATTTATTCACAGAGTCGAACACTCTGATTTCAAGGGACGGGTCTTAAGAAAGAGTAACTGTTTAATTTAAGAAATATTAAAGTTTTATTTGAATCCTTTACAATTGGAATGAGAAAGAAAGAGTAGATCCAAATGTCATGTCTTCAGGGATACTGAAACAAATACGGACTTTGTAGAATCAATCGAGAATTTAGATGGGGACTAATTTTAAAAGTATTAGTTACTTACTTTTTAATATTATTATTAGAGTCGTAGTCCCAACAGGCGATACCCAGTGAGAAATTGCCAATAGACTTTAATCGGTCCAATATCGGTCCAATATTGGTTGCCGTGCTGGGCGCCGATTGACTCCCAATATTGGACCAATATGGGCTGATGCTTGGGATGTAACGGCATCGCCAATCATCGGTTGTCAATATTGGTCCAATATTGGCCGAATATTGGCAACCAAGAGAAAAAAAATTTTTTTTTTTAAATAAATTTTTTTTAATTAAATAATAATAATAAAAAATTAATGTTTATAATTTTTGTTTAATATATTTATTTGTTTAATTATTTATTTTTAATAATTCATGTAAATAATAAATAATTTATTATTTATAAATTATAATTATTTAAAAATGCAGCAGCTATTAGAAAATAGCATTCTGCAAAAAAATTCTATCATTGAAAAATCAATGATAGGCGAGAGAAATCCGCGTCTTTAAATAGATTCGCAGATGATAGACAAGAGATATCCGCGTCATTAAACGGATTCGCAGATATACTCTGGTCTCGCGACGAATCTCTCGATACTTATATACACTGGAGTCGCTGTGTCAGTTGCGAGAACGGTTACAGCGTCCCTCTTGCGGCAGAGATAAGAATTGTCACGTAAACTGCTAAATCGCTTTACCGACCGCCTTATTATACCCGCAGTTTACGTGACAATTCTTATCTCGGCCGAAAGAGGGACGCTGTAACCGTTCTCGCAACTGACACGGTGACTCCAGTGTATATAAGTATCGAGAGATTCGTCGCGAGACCAGAGTATATCTGCGAATCCGTTTAATGACGCGGATATCTCTTGTCTATTATCTGCGAATCTATTTAAAGACGCGGATTTCTCTCGCCTATCATTGATTTTTCAATGATAGAATTTTTTTGCAGAATGCTATTTTCTAATAGCTGCTGCATTTTTAAATTATTATAATTTATAAATAATAAATTATTTATTATTTACATGAATTATTAAAAATAAATAATTAAACAAATAAATATATTAAACAAAAATTATAAACATTAATTTTTTATTATTATTATTTAATTAAAAAAAATTTATTTAAAAAAATTTTTTTCTCTTGGTTGCCAATATTCGGCCAATATTGGACCAATATTGACAACCGATGATTGGCGATGCCGTTACATCCCAAGCATCAGCCCATATTGGTCCAATATTGGGAGCCTTTATTGGACCGATGATCGGTCTCTTGGCTCCCAATATTGGACCGATATTGGACCGGTGAGAAATTTCTCACTGGGTACCTCCTTCAATGTGAAGTCGAAGCAATGACGTTGTCTAGTGGGAAACAGAATATGAAGTAGATTCCTTCGAATTGTTTTCGGGACAGCCAAAGTGGGAGGTCCAGAGTCCAGGTGTCGAATTATTGATTTGATTTTGAAGTCGAAATAATGCAGTGCTTGGCAAATAGAAATGTGCCTTGTATTAGAAATTATCTCCTTGATTAAATTCTTCTTGAATGAGCTTGACTGAGACTTAAAGAATCCACTTGGTACTAGAAGAGATTTTGGACTGACACGAAGAATACGCTTAGGGGTAGTGCATGACTTGTTAACTTGGTCGCGGTGTCTTGTGTAACGAAGAATGCTGGTTTCTGCTTCGAGGGTGACTTCTGGACTGATACGAAGAAGACGCGAAGTGGTGACTTGCTTCTAGTTAAGTTGAAGGCTCTTCCTGGACTAATGAATTCGGCAAGAATTATATAAGAATTCCTTATATACTACCGCATTGACGTCATACCACCCCAAAATTTTATCACTTTGACCCAGAGGTGATAAAATTTTTATTACAAATAAGTGGGGAACCAATAGGAAAAATGACAAGATAAACATGACCATATCAACAGAAGATTATTCACACTTAACATTTCAATGACTGTATGGTTCGGTGACAACAGTCCAACTGTACTGTTCGGTGGCGAAATTTGTACTGACGAATTATTAGGAATGGGTAACTCCTTTTATTCATCTCCTAGCGTGGGTAAAATATGCAAATACTTATTTCTGTAATTACGTGGGTTTAGATCCCGATTCCAATCAGGTGGTTCATTTTCAACTGACGCCTAACAAGAAGAAAATGTGAATTTTTCCTGGTTAAATTAAAATACAAGGAAATGTAAATATACGAAGACAAAATTATAGTTCAGAAATAAATATGAAATATGAAAAGACTTAACAATTTCTATACAATGAGAGTAAATGAATTAAATAACAACCAACCTTTCCAAACATAATACACATTAAATGTGACTTGCAATCGTGCGTTGACAATAATATACGGAAGGAATCTCGTATCTCAGTTGCGGTTCACTGAGTAATTCCCATTTGCTTGATCTTCGATGCCACAGAAGGGTAGGAGGAACAGAATTCAGAGTCTGTTGATTATCCGGTCTGTAAACACGATGCATTGTTATCGATTGGACCAACAATCTGCTCCTGACCCCGCCACTGAATCCTCACCCTTTCATCCCCCCCCTTCGTCCTGCCTCTTCCTCACCCCCCTCCGATATTGACGCAATACAGCCTCGCAGTTGCATAATGAATGGTTGGCTAATGACCCTACGGAGGTTGCGGAAACCGCAGCGCGCGAATGTCGGCGTTAGAGGAGAGATACTCGTGAGGGGGGCTGGGGCAAAAGAGGCAAGGGACGTAGGCAGTCGAAGGGAGTTTCCCCAACCCTGCAGACTGAAGTACTTCCGGCATCAAACATGCACCAGGGTATCCACCATCCGCCAGCCAAATGCGGATACTTAAATGTTTCATTAGTACTATATATATACATACAATATATAGACGACTATTTATCTCCCATTTCATCATTTATTTAAAATGCACATTTTGTTTCATATCCAAATGAATATTTCAAAACAATTTCGTTTCTCTAACATGGTTATAATTTTCTTCTCTTGTTTTTATGTTACAGTGCCGTGGACTTTGTGGATATTGATCAGCAACTTCTGACAACTGCTCTGACTCGTCACTGTAAGTTGAACCATTTTTTCATTCTCTTCATAATTATTTTTGTAATAATTTGGGGACTAACTCTTCTGGGGATAGAAGTCATAATTTTAATCATTCATACACGGAAAAAGTTTTGGGTGACGAGCCGTTCCAAGTAGACCGAATATTTTTAAATGCAATACGACTTTTGTTTGGAGGAGCTTCATTTCTAACTCGGGCGTGCTGAGCGCCCAAGATGCGGCTATTGCAGTCTTAAATATTGGGTGTTTAGCGACACCGACATAGGAACGTAGATTTTCCGAATTGAGATCGTAGCACATCCGAACTAGAGTTCCTCCACTTTCCGACGATTGGTATTGCACGGCACTCAACATTTTTTCAGTGTAGGGTATCACTCATTTGTTGAGAGGGTTAATATGAATGTGGAATTAATTAATTGATGATGTGTAAATCATTAATTGACACCAACAACTGTCAGGATGACTTCTCCTTTTTTGTAGTCGAAAGTGGAAAATCTGTAAGTTCAGGTACTTGGATTAAATCCAAGATTACAATTGCGTCTTAAGAAACATAAAACAATGTTGTCTTTGGTTTTGAAAACTGATAATTTTTACTGCAAAATAACTTTCTCCTTTGTACGTGAATGTAAAAAAATAACAGTTTTAAGAAGAAGAGCTTTTAGTGATTCCATTTTGTTGTGGTGCCTTTTGTTAACGTTTCGCAATACGGGCTCAAAGAGAGAGAGCGAGAATTTGCAAACTGTAACTTTTGAAGACTTTTCGAGCGCAAAAAGTTATTATAAATAACAAAAGAAAAAGTTTCAAACAGTAATAATGAAATTTAAAGCAGCTTTTGTAAAGTTTTGAAATCGGGTTTTTGTCAACCGACACGCTTACGTTGCATTGACCAGTCACGGAGGGTAACAAACGTCGGAACTTATAATTTACTTCGACTCGCAAGAACGTAAGAGGCTTTATACTGTTGAAATGCGTTTTGTGGGCTGCTTAAAACGTTATTTAATGTTGCTATTATTTCCCATGTTTGTTGCGTAACTGCTTACGTTTACACAAAAGCACACTTTGCTGACAGCACTTAAGTCTAAACCAGCGCAAACAACTATCTTCATTCTCTCCCTCATATATTAAAGATTCAATTTGCTAATTTAAAATTTACTCATTGTCATCAACAAAGTCATAATTAATTTTCATCTTCACTTATTAGATTATAAAAAAATGAATAAACAATTAAACAGAAGTAAAAACCAAACAAAATCAAAAAACTTTTTACAATTATAATCCTCAAGTGATAATGAGAATATAATAATTGGAATGATTATTAAATTTTGAAATGAGAATCGTGAATGATTTGTTGAATTATTATTATTATTTGAAATTGCGCTTCACTTTTTGAATATAAATAAATAATTTAAAAAAAAATAGAATGCAAGAGAGTCCTTCGGTTGAAATAATTTTCAAGTTATTCCCGTAACGATTCGCGCGGCTCCGGTCAAACGGAATATTCGTTAAAGCATTTATCGGCGTCATGCATTAGCGCTACACTTTTGGAAGTGAATTATCATATTAACGAGTGTCGACATCAGTGTGACGAGGCACTGACGGGCGGCGTCAAGAATCGTGTTCACGACACGTAATTGCAAAAATTCAATTATAATTTACGCACCGAATACATTAAATTTACCCAATTTACTAGTAAAATTACTATCACATCGTTTCAACCGCTGATAATTTATGTGTGTATTTTATTTCATGATGATGAATTTATCAAGCGATATAAATACACTACGGTATCAAGGAAAATCAGTTTCATGACACAATTAATCAAAATATAATTATTATAAAATATTATAAACGTGGATTTTAATTTTATCTTCTCATTTAAATTTATTTATTTGTTTATACACCCGTCTTAAGCCTACAATCTTGGCTATACAAGTGTTTTTACAACCGTAGAACATTCCTTACAAACATTTCTTAATACTAAATTTTTGCGCCTACAGAGCGACTTGAAAATTAGGAGTACTCGCATTTGCCTGGACCACCCGTCTAATGGGTTTTCTCGCCAGTGGAGAGGGAAACTGTAGAAAACCTCTCCGAGTACAACCGGTTTATCGACAGTCGAATTCTAATGGTGTGTACCGGACAATAATCGACGGTGCACATCATTCTACTTCGACGTCAAACCTCCCGCTCAGATTATCTCACGTGCCGGAAAAATCCCAGGCTAATGGGCGCGAACCAAGTACCCTTGGTCCTAAGCGTCCGCCGAGCCAGGCATTTATCCGACCGATCCAATCTGTCGGTTCTCATTTAAATTTATAAATTGCTATATTTTTTTATTATTTTATAAATATTGTATTTTTATAAGAGAAATATTCGAAGAACACCTTCAACTCCTGCAAGAAATATAAAAGTAGTTATGAACAAGAAAATTGTAATTACTCTACCAGCGTTAAAATAAAAAAATTTTACTACCCTCTAATAATAGTAATTGACTAAAAAAATTTCTATTTCCACCACATAAAAACCCCTCCATTCGCTCATTTACCATTTGACATTAAATCCAGCCCTAATATAATGGAAGATCCGCAAATAACAATAGTCCAATCAAATCTTGAGGAATGGATCGCAAACACATTCCTGGAAGATTGTTAGTAATCAAGAACATAGAGAGAGTATCGTTAAACCTGGTCTCATAGTGAATTTGACATTATTCTCAAATGAAGTCTATACCTTCAAGCCAGAAGGGTTTAACGTTGCATAGTTAAGAGCAAGCCCGCCTCTTTCTCTCCTTCACCTCTTCTAAGTTGTATATATCGCGACAGCGCATTCTGTTTGTGAGGGGAAACCATCTTTCCAACCAGCCACTGACGCGATGAGTCTCTCGGATTTACCGACCATTTGCCAAATGAAGATGAAACTGCCTTGCAGATTAGTGAGCTGCACGATAGAGAGATGCTACTATAGACAGTAGGAGAACCTGTGAAACGCATACTTGTCAACGTTAGGGTTGCGTTTAATATATTCCCGTATGTTGCGCTGTCGCAGGATTGTATCTCATTAACCCGCAGCTTCACCTCTATGGCAAATATAATATGCTCTATGACGGCATTGAATTAATTCCGTTTATTATCAAAGCTAATTGACGGAAAATCAAAGGCATTAATATATTGATCATTGAGACAAATTGAACGGTTTGGAAAAAAGGTTTTATATTAGAGAAGGAAATGAAAGAGCTGAAGAGTCATATTTTGAGTGACAATTTATTGAGTCTTAGCGATGATTTCTCACTGGACACCCATGCAGAAAAAAAAGAAATTAAAATTGAAAATAATACTGAAAGCATTGATAGTAATAAAATAATTATTAATCAATTAAGTGGAATAGAATTTCAAGAAGATAATCCTGGGGTAATTAATGAAATTATAAATACAAATACCTATGATGACACACAATTTGATATAACTGTTGAATGAAGTAATTATAAGATAAATATTCGAAGAACACCTTCAACTCCTGCAAGAAGTATTTACTATACTCCATTATATAAAAGTATTAATTATGAGGGGAAAATATTTTTCAGATGGTAAAAAAATTTTTAAAAATAAGCGCACAAAAGAAGACGATTTTTCGTTTTTTAATTTCGCGGAAGAGTATGCTAATTTGTTCAATCAGAAGAAAACTGGTCTCGGTCACATTTTCTTTCGCGAACATGTCTTTTTTAGAGGAGTAGCTAAAGCCAAGAAGTGTTTTAACGATCGTGTGGGGGGTTTGTTATCGAGGGTAATGTTTTGACCCTCCTGAACGCTTGTGTCTCTTGACGGGTTGCACTCGGTGAACTCGCAATGAATATGCAAGAGTCTTTTCACGAAGCATAACCTAGCTAAAGAGAGGAAGAGCAAGAGAGAGCGAGAGAGGCCGTTGCACGATATCTATGTTTCATGCATTCAGATGTCCTTCTTATGTGCCAAGCGAGACTTGCCCCCAAGTGGAACTTGAACGATATCGTGTCGCGTTACCTTCGTTAGATGTCGTTTATAAAACCCTGGTTCGCATTTCGCCAGGAAATCCCAGACTCACGACGTGCCATGCAAGTTACACTAACAACGAATTCTCCCTACACGAAGTAAGCCATCGAAAATTGTCTTTGAATCATCATGAGATTTCTAATTGTCGGGAAAATTGAGATACTTTTACAGTGGGAATTTATAATTAGGAGAATTAAAATGTTGTCTTAAAAACAGATAACCGAATGGAGACAAAAATTTTATGATTATGTTTTTACATATTACCTTGAGTGTTAAAATTAGCATATAACTTGGGGGTTATTAGGGTCGCGGATAACGAATCTGAAGTTTTATTTTTAAAATTAAAAATGTCGAATCCAACATGGCTGACAAACTTTAAGAAACTAGCTTACTTTGTCCATAAGCCAAAGCCTCGCTTTCCTAAAAACATTAAAAACAATTTTAATGGAATTTAGAAAGATATAATTGGAAAATGTTCCAGTAAAATTCAACATGGGGGAAAAATGTATAAAATTAATCTTTTATTTCAATCTTTAAAAACTCTGACTAAAAGGAAGGAAGAAGGATTTTCTTGTCACAAGAGAAAATTGCTGTGCAGGTGCTACCGATCACTCTCATCCAATGGAGATTACGCATCCTGATCACGGATAGAATGTCAATTAAACGACGCGGCCTATTAACCGTGACCGAAACCTCGACAAAGGCTAGGCGAGATTTTGCGCGGCGTTGGTTCATCACGCGATAATTTATATGGTAATTTTAGGGACGTAATAAGTTCCCCTTGGTAAACTCTGGCTTTGCCGCCTATACACACGATCACCTTCCTCCTCTCTCTCTCTCTCTCTCCATCTCTCTTCCTCGTTTCCCCGAAACGCTTCCCTCACGCGATGCAAGTGAGTATAGAAGCGAGACGACGTGCTGAAAACCCGTGCACACATCATTATCAAAACCGTGGTCATCGATTCATTGGTTCACA